ATCGGCCTGTCGATGAGCAGTTGTCGACGCCCGTGTCTGCTTCTAAGCTGTCAACCCATCTATCCTGCAGGAGCAGAAGCCAGATCCCCAGCTGTTGGGGAACACGTGCTCCCTGTCTCTGCTTCGCAGGAGAGTGTCTGAGAAACTAAACTCAAACTACAAGCACCAAAGCGGCCCCGCCGCAATCCGAGCAAGCGGGCACTTCTGCTGTCTAAGGGAAGCTGAAGCTGCGATGTTCGAGGAAGAGGAACAGGCCATGGAGGGAGCTGAGGAAGAAGACATTGAAGAGCCACTGTGGAAGGGAAGGGGACCTGATGGGATAGGGCGCAGCCGGTATGACCACTGGAGTTTAACGAGGGTGGCCGAGTTTAGGAGAGTTACCATCCTTGAGAATCGGACACACCGAAGTCGGGATGGAAACCACCGACCAGACTTCCGCGAACTTTAAACTCCGAGCAAGCAAACGTTGCAACAGGCACTGAAGCTACACCACCGACAACATCCCAAAGCCGAAGTCTTCCCACGACTGGTTCATAGATGTGACAAATTGCTTGTGAGCCGACTCTGAGCTTCTGTCCCACATATCTACTCCAGCATGTAAATAGCACACCCACAACCTTCTTCATTAGGGGATGTATAGTGCGAAACTCGTGTACTGCAGAACCCTTCAGCCCTTGCGGGTTTCGTACTCCCTAGCTCGATGCCTGTCAGCCTTAGCAGCTGGTCAAGCTGTCCACTACACATTAGGGTTGCGAGGGTGCCTCGGGTTTGAATGGGGCTTAGGGTTACCGGTTAGGGGCTAGCATCCGTTGTTGACAGCAACGACAACGAACCAGCAAGCCCATCCCCGGCAGCGTCAGCCTGTCTCGCTTTCGAAGTGGGCACAGATATAGCAGACCAGAACCTACGGCGCGCGCGGCCTCTTTCAAAACCCTGAGTCCGCGCCTGCAGAATACCTCAAACCCACACGCGCTGAACCCCTAGTTAAGCCGCAAGATAAATATTGGGGTTTCCCAAAATAGGGGACCGTAATATAGTACCCTAAATAGTAGGATCGTTATTATAAGGACCCCAATATAAGGTACTGCTTGGTTTTCGGAAACTCCCATATCAAACCCAGGCCCTTCGGAGCCTTGTTCCGTTTTTCGACAGCCAAAAGGACCTCGAGGCACCCCCAGAGGTGAAGGAGGAGGCTCCACCACCTCCGCCCGAGGCCGAAGGGAGCGGTGGAGTCTCTTTGGGCTGCTGTAAACCTATTTGAGTCCATGTACCCAAATTGCCTAGACTTTGGCCCCTCAAGTCTATACTACTTGGGTACATGCACCGTTAGGGTAAGGGCTTAGGGCTTTTTTTTGGCTTAGCGTTTAGTTCTGCGGGTTCAAGGCTGTAGGGTTCATGGACCATGCAGATGTGTGAGTTCAGGACTCGGGAAAAGATTCGGGAATGTTGACTGCATACTTTGGGCTCCGGGCCCTAGTGTGATGCCGATTTTAGAGGTAACATAGCTTTGAGTTTAAAGTTGAAAGCCATGCGTGTAGAATGTGGAAATAGCGGTTTGTAGGGCTCGTGGGGGGCTACGACTGCAATTCGATTGTGAGAGATGCGGTTGATGATATAAATCCTGCATTACCCATAATAAGGAATATACCATAATTCCCATAGTTTAGGGTCCTTGAGGTAATGCAGGATTTCTATCATCAACCGTATGGCTCGCCTAGACGATCTTCTGGCCACAGGCTAATGCGGGAGATGGAAGGAAACGGCTATTGGGATGTTACTGGCTGGAAGGCTCCAAAACCAACGGGCGAGGAAACCCCAGAGCGTCGACCTAGCAGGACCTAGCAGAGCTCCGGAATAGGAAGATACGGTTTGGGATTTAGGCATAGGTCCGAGGTCCCTCAAAGTAGTACAGCACCTTTACATACACTCTTTCGCATTTCGGGATCTCCGTGTCTTTGTCATCGTCTCTTCTCAAGGCACCCCCTAAACCCGAAACCCTAAGCCCTACAAGCCCCAAACCCTCAACCCTAAACCCTAAACCCAAAAGAACCCTAAACACTAAACCCTGAAAACCGTCAACCCGAAACCCTATAAACCCTAAATGCCCTAAACCCGAAACCGCCGAAACCGTTTCGTCTTTACCGGCAGGTCAAAGACGAAGGTCAGGACCTCTACGCATCCGCCGAGGCCGACAAGAAGCTGGAGCAGCTCCAGCAGGCCTTTTTCTTTGTTGCTAGGGTTTTAGGGTTTTTAGGGATTTAGGGATTTTCGGGGTTTAGGGTTTAGGGTTTTTAGGGTTTAGTGTTGTATTTTTCTTATACTTTAACTCCAGGTGATTAGTAAGAATAGTTTTTATTAGGGTTCTCAGAGCGGCTAAGATTTAGGGACCTTCTTTTGGGGTTTAGGGGGTTCCGTAGGGTTTTTAAGCTCCTGTAGGTTGTAGGGTTCCAGGTTCTACAGGGTTGGGAGCGTCCTCAATATGAAAATTAATATAATGACTTTATAATAGCTGTAATCTCTCATATTATGCACCTCCTCTGCGCTGCTACTTAGTCGCTCCCGGTCATTTCGCTTTGTTGTTCGCCGCGTTTGTGGTTGTTTGGCTCGACACCTGTGAACCTGCCAGGGCAAAGACGACTCCAAGGACGACGAGAAGAAAACGAAGAAAAAGGACAAAGAGTCGGAGTGAGGGTGGCCGCGGATGCTGTGGAAAATTGGATGCTGCCCTTCCCGGACTCGGCAAATAACCTCTGACTCCTTGGGTTTTTGTTTCCTCATCTCCGATTTCTTCGTTGGGCTTTGAACTTGGAACTTTATGTAATGGGCTTGTACTCGGATTGCTGTATAGAACTGGAAGCCTAGTAGAAGCCCTGGCCCTGCACCGTGTCTTTCAATCTGTGCCAAAGATGTTGGAACACCGGATGTTTAGATTGCAAAATACGAAAAAAACATGCATCCCAGCTCTGTGAGAGTCTGTCGACTACAGTTCCGAAGGCCCCGATTCCTGTGGGAGAGCTTCCCCGGTGCTTGCAGCGAGTTTCCACGGGATTTGGTCCTTGAGGACCGAACAATGCAGGGCACTGTCACTGTCAAGAACCTCTAGAATCTTCAAACTCGATAACCTTATTAAACGCCCGCATATAAGCGCTACATCCTGAAGCACTTGGAAACAGTGCTTAGATGTCAGCTGCATTGCATTCTACAGCCCCGGAACATGTCGCCCTACCAAGTACCGAGGAAACAGACGAGCACTTACTCTTGTAAGGACATCTACTAGAAGGAGTTTCCAAAGCAACCGAGACCAAATCCAGAACACGCTGTTGCAAATGACTTGTGCTTAGACGCACGGCAGAGAGATCTGACACCGACTCCGATGACTTCGACCGAGGTAGATACGCCGCAGAGCGACATCCCAAATCAGAAGGGCAAAGTCGCATCAGATCTCTGGGCCCGTACTTCCTGCCGGCCGCAAGGGGCATTTTGATCAAATAGATTTGCAAGGCCCGGAAGCCCAGACCATCCAACCCTCTCAGCCCTTATTTGGGGGGTTCTTCTGCACTTGTCGGCCTGTTGGATTTCTGATAGTGAACCTGCGCGGACGGGCTGTGGTCCACCGACAGAGACTGGCAAATGGCCTGCCCACCGCATGCATGTGCCTCGGGAATATGGATAATATGGTGCCTGTTCATTGAGATCCTTTGTCCGGGTGGCTTGGCAAAGTTGGGGTCAAGATCCATGGCTAATGGTTGCATGGTCGACGTATGCTTTCGTGTCGAGAGGTCGTGCTCCATAATCAGCGCGAGTGACCAGTTTGTAGTTGCCAAAATCATATCTACAGAGCCTACATATATGGTACCTTACATGGTGCCTGTGCAGGGGTCTAGGCCTCGTAATACACATGTCAGGCGACGGGTCAAGGTGTGAGGTGTCGGGGTTGATTGCCAATGGTGTTACACGCCAAGGAAGCGTTTCAAGAGCTGAAAACTTGAGCCTCAATACCTGGTACCGTAGCTCCGGATATAGTCTTGCAAATCCCTGTGGTCCAATGTACCCCGATATGTAATTGCACTAAAATCGACAATGACACTTCCTTTCGTGTAGCTTAAAGGTTAAAGGGGCAGACCTCAGTCCGTTTTTTCATGACATGGATCCATAAGCTCTGTTGGATGGATTCTCGCCATAGCTGCGAAGCAGCCCGGTCGCGCTGCGCCGACCTTGGCACAGACGAGCTTTGCCAAACTTGCTTCAAGTCGGGAAAAATATGGATGTTATCTGAGCCTGCTAGACATGTGTCATTGTTAGATTGCTGGAGTTATCACCCTGAGCATGTCATGGGAGTCATGCGGATGCAGTCTTACGCTGGATTTTGTTCCGGCCTGTGCCACGACGGACTTCCGATTTCCGTCTAAGTCCGACAGTCCTTTTCACCGGAATCTACAGCAGTCGAATGCCCATTGTCAGGGTTGATATGTCGTTTTCATCTGCTACGCGGTTGCAGACCTCGACGATTCGCGACAGTCGACGGGTCTAGATTTCCTAGACCAGAAATATAAGCCCTATATAGCCCTCTGAATGATATTCCGTGGACTAGACCCTGTAAACCCTGAAAGCTCTAAACAGTGGACAGGTCGCCCTGTTCCTGGAAGCATGGCGTGAAGGAGCAGATTTGGGAGATCGTGAGCTTCCGGTGGTCGATTCAGTCCCAACCTTGGGGGCCCGTCGTCCTTCATACTTCATCCATACTCCATTGAGCGCCTTGTGAAGGGGGCAGGGGGCAGGTGTGCACGTGATTGCAGGTCATGTCGAGACGCTTTTCTAAAAAAATCTTCGCCGAGAAATAGTGGTTCTGCGCCAGGAGCAGGGAGGTTGGAGCACCGGTCCTCGTGGCAGAGGCGTGGGTGTGCTTCGCAACAATGCATGATTCAAGGCATCTCGCCCAGATTTGTGCTGCTTGTGCCAAGCTGTAGCGGTGTGGCATGCATTATATGGTGCTGCTGCAGGGGTCAGAGGTGCTGTACTTCGTTTCCCGGCTCGTCCTACCGTCACCGCTCCCACGGCCAGACGGCAGCACCTCCCTGTTGGCACAGGTATCCGCGTCAGTCGTCTCCTCCGCCGGAGTCCAGGCAGAGAGTCAGAGAGCAGATCGGTTCCGGCTGTCGTATGGACGTAACTTTGAGCCGAGAGGCTTCACTGAGCTGGAGGCTTCGCAGGTTAATTGTTTTTTGAAGCAGGGCAGGGACTTGTGCCGAATCGCCTGCGACATCAAATCACTGTTCTGCATGTTTCTCAATGTTGTGTTGATCGAAACGGAAGGACAGGAGCGTTTTTTCCACCCACCTGGCACTGTCCCCATAGAGCCGATGTCCGTGGACATGGAAAGGTTCGTCCATCGGGGCTGGGATGGGCGGGTCCTAGATGTGGACGAATTTCAGGTAGCCAAAGCTCTGCTGACCGGAGAAGCGGACCTCCTGAGCCAGGAAGTCGACGGCAAGCACCTCTTCGACTGGTGCTGTCACTTTGGACACCAGAGCACTGCTGCAGCGATGGTTTCGTTTGGAGTGCAAGGTTGCGTTTTCAAGGGACCTCGCAGCTTGCCGCGACATTGTTCTGGACCTGTCACTCGACGAGAACCTCGCTCCACTGATGTATTCACTGCACTCCCTACTTGCCACTGCCGTGGTCGGTCTACCTGCAAAACGTGCGGCTGGGCCTTTCCGGAGCAAAAGGGCATATGGGTGGAGCAGTGGGATGCAAGCCTCCAGGAGGCCAAAAACGCCGCGAAAAGTGCTGCCACGATACCTGTCGTTCGCGCCTTGTTGGAGGCCTTTCGCTCCCAGGCGGCTGTTGACGGAATCGCCACGGCTGAAGGCATGGCTTACCTTCTCGATGTTGCCATCCTCATCGGGGATGCCGAACTGGCGAGATGCTGCGCCAAGCACTGCACCCGTTTGCCTTTAAGGCGCTGGAGAGGCGAGGAGCTTGTGAGGATCATGGAAGATAACCTCCTGCTTCGAGCAGAGATTCGGGAGAAAGACGTTCTGGTTGCCGCTCTGGCCGCCGGCCTGGAGCTCGAGCATCTGAAGCTGGACGGGGCCGGCAGGGTGTCGCTTGCGGAAGCCATCGTACTTTCCGCAGACGCTGAGCTCTGGCACCGAGTCGAAGACCTTCAACTGCAGCTCGGGCCCTGGCCAGCGCATGATGAAGTTTATAACACAATGGCCGAGTTTCTCCTCGATCGCTCCGCCGACCAAAACAGCCTGAGCTCGGAGCGCCTGCATCGGGCCGAGAGAGCCGGCCTCGCGCTGACCTCGTTTCGGGTGCAGGTTTTCTTTGACTGCCAGGGATGTGGCAGCAGTTATTTTCAGAAACCGTTCTCCTTGCTGGACTTGGCGATCTTCTTTGGTCAGAGCGACTGTGCAGAACTCTGTGGGTCGATGGACATTGAGGCGACAAAGGTTACGCTGCCAGCGAGCCTTGAAGCGATGCCTATAGAGTGGGAGGACGTGGATACATGCTTTTCTTGTGGATGTACCTCGTTTGGAATTACAGATGATACAGATTTCACTGACTGGGCCGAGAGCATCGCATCGCTCCCGGAGCGCCAGGCTGCAGCAGCCGAGGCCCTTCGCACGGCGCTGCAGGCATCCCACCGAAAAACCGCAAGCTCTGCAGGCTTCGGGCTCTTCCAGGCCATGCGATGCTGGGCTCGCGGGAAGTCGGTGCCAATATCTTTGGTAAACTTGGTGTTGACATTCGCAGCAAAGCGGCCATCACTGCTGCAGGCCCTCGAGGGACGTGAGGGGGAGCTCCCGCCCTTGGGCCACTGGTGGGAGGAGTCGGAGCACCGAGTTCACCAAGACCCTCGGAGTCCCCAGCCAATGGTGGAGAGTACGGAGCCACATCCAGTCAGTCAGAATGTTGGCATGCGGGAGGAGTCGGGGCAAGATGGTGCGAGCCAGAGTCCACAACAAGCGGATGATCCCTGCGTGCAGGCAGGGCCGTCGCCATCTGCGAACGGCGGCGACCCGTCGGTCGCTGCAGCTTCCTCCCCGACAAATGCTGACACTCCAAGCCCAGATGTGAAGCCTTCCGCCAACGATGACCTCATGATCGCCCTCCGCGACAGCAAGAGCGACATGCCCCCTCTGAGCCCGGAAGGTGCAGTGGTCTTCCGGCTCTCCCGGCAGAGCAATGCCCCGCGCGTCAATGACATCCTCCTCGATGCGACGGGCCCATTGGCTGAACTCCACCTGCGAGTGTTGGAGGCTGGTTGCGAGGTGCGGGTTCCATGCCATGACTACAAACCGTATGCATATGGACTGATTTTCACTGTTCAATCGTTCCATATGCATAGGACTGATCTTCACTGTTCAATCGTTTTGGGTTTGTCATATACATTTGACTTTCGCATCGGACGGCTCTTCATTGGTGATTTGTAGCTTTGGTTTGCAGCTAGATTTTCGTTCGTTGACTCTCCAATTCGGGCAGGTCGCACCGAAATGGTCGCCGGTGAAGGCCTTGTTTATTCCCGTGACGGAGCCGCAGATGCAGGAGTTGCTTCACTCGGAGAGCCTCTCAGCTCAGGTAAGAAAACTCCAGAATCGCAAACGGTTCCCGAACTATTTTGGGCCAGAAGCTGTTAACCCCGCGCGTTGAAATCACGAGAAGCTTGGCAAACTCCTGCTGCAGCCTGGCATGTAATGTAAGGTGACCGCTACGAGCTGGGAAAGACGCACATCGTGGCCCTCCTCTCGGACTTTGACCTCATCGACGGAGCGCTGCGCCAGCTCCCAAAGATCACGCGGCCGAAGCTCCGGAGAGACACTCCGAAGGAGCATGCGGAAGGCAGGGCTCCGTGAAGTTTTTTTCAATGTTCCGTTTGTGTTTGCTGAGATGCGGCGCAAACTTCAGAAATTGGTCCCTGCATGCCAGGCGATGCCGAAGCTGCGGCAGGAGATGAGGAAGACGATGCGCCCATGATCGTCCTGGAAGGAGGGCTCCGTACAGACTCCAGCGTGGGCTTCCCGCCGAATCCGTGGCAGTCGGAGCAGTGAGCAGCTCCCGCCGGGACTGCTTTCCGCATTCCGACATGCTGTATATCTGCGGGCTTAAGCTTTTTAAAAATCTCCATGCATGCAGAGAAAGTGGGTCTGATAGACTTACGCAAAGCCCTGCGGATGGCGTCAGCACACCCGAGGACGACCTGGAGGGGAACTGTGCAGGCTGCATACTTTCGTGTACGCTCCCCGAGTTTTTTGGTGCGACTCCTCAGTCATCGATGTATTAATTAAATTGTGCAAAACATGTAGATCAAGAAACCAGTGGCAGCCAATATTCACACTTTATGTGTGCTACCCGATTCCAAGCTTGTAGTGAACAGTTGTCGGAGGGGACTGCATGACTGGGCACGATTGCCTTCAGCATGTTTCTGTGCTGCAAGAGACGAGAGAGGTGTCGCTCTAGGGTCTTGCTCGCCTTGGTGCACACCCTCTTTTACTGCGCACATTGTAGATTGCAGATCTTCAGTTTTGCACTGCACTTGCAAGTGAGGAAATGTATCCTTCAGCGCAAGTCTGTGTGCATGCTTTTTTGCCTTGTAGAACACATGTCTTCCGGTCTCCCACTGACTGATAACTTGCAAGTGCACAGCCCGGAGGGATGCCTTGGCATGGGACCGTCCGTGGGCTCATCTTTCCAGAGGCGAGACTGCGACCTGAAAGACTAAGAGAGCTGTAGCCACTTTAGCCGTAACGATGTTCGTTTCCTGGGTGACTGTCGATGCTCCACCACCGAACGGATCGGCAACTTGTTGTGTATATGTCAGGTTCATGCTTCTCAATGGCTGTCACGCCTCCGGGAATCGGATCTGAGCCATCCCTGAAATTCGTGGTTTTGACGCCAGACGCCTGTGAGCGTCGGAAGACCATCGGAGTAGCCCTGTGCACCGGCACCCGGATTCCAGGGTCTTGCTTGCCTTGGAGATTTGGGTGCATCGGCGCAGCTGGCGACGGGTCAAAACAAAAGCAGAAATTCGGATGACGATGCCAGTCTGAAGCCTAGAATGATCCAGGCACATTTGGTTGCTGAGCTTCGCGGTATCGCAGCTTGTGAGATATACAGATATAATCAATCCCTACAGCCCTATAAACCGTATCGAAGCTACGGAGCTTTTTCCGTCGGACATCGCTGGGTGGGATCCCTGTGGGACTAACTACTAACTGTGCCTGCAGGACAAGAGGAGCGAGGAAGCCTGCGTCTCGGCTTGGACTCATCTAGAACCAGAATAAAGCTTGGGGTGTAGGGTTTATAGGTACACACTAAGCTTTGGGGGATGTTGTTGCGGAAGTATGGTGTGTGTTTGTGTGTGTGTATATATATATATATAACTATTTAATTGTATATGTAAGGGGTAGTCTAGGCCGAACATGAAAGCCCCGGTGTCGTTCGCAGTGCAGACTCTTGGCTCTAAGTCTTACATTCCAGAGATGATTTCGAAGTTTCGAAGTTCGCTGACATTACACTGCCACGGTTGTCAACATGCTGCGCAGCGTGCACGCACGGAGGGATGCTGGGGTCTACAGGCTCAAGGGGCCGCTAGCGTAGGCTGAGTTGCTAAAGTACGGTTTTGAGTTTGGGTCATGGATCTTTCGAGTGTGTTTTTCCTGCTCGAACTTCCTATAAGCCCTGCAACCGTAGTTTTTTATAGACATATAAGCCTTGGTGTAGAGCGACTCCGGAGAAGACTGCAGTACCCTGTGGGAGATGCCCAGGTCGGGATTGTAGAGATCTTTAGAGGGTTTAGTGTTGACCGGCACACACCCAAAGTTTCGGAGCTTGCGAGCTTTGTTTCAGTCTGTGGCATGTCGGAAGTTGTGAAGCGAGAGATCCAAGAACTCTTCGGCGTGGATAGGCCCACATGGAAAACTTCAGTCCCAGACTGTTTTTTACTGTCAATTTTGTCTTTGTAGTCAGCTTGCGCAGGCAAGTTCCGAAATGCTCGCTCAAGTTTAATGACAGGGTAGTTTATGGCTCAGCAGACCCTTGCAGCTTCTCCATAGCCTGTCGACGGAGAGGCAAGCTCAGCTATTTCAGGGGGGGGACTTGAGAACATGCGAAGTCGTTGATGACGTGGTGTTTTGCTTGACGGCTCGATGCTGCGTGTTTTCTGCTGTACATAATAATCGACGGCCCCCAGGCACCCTATGTCCCCTTTCGGAGGTCGCCCACATCATCAGTATAGCTCTTAACTGTCTTGTCGTTGCAGGATGGAGTCATTGCTACGTTGTGCAGGGCTGACCGGTTGAAGTTGCATCGGACCAGCTCTGAGGTTGCTTCCGCTGCTGCACGGCAGTGTGCCTCCGTCGAAGCGAAGGCCCGGTGAATCTTTGCCCATCTCACAATACAAGAGCCCAGTGTGTTCTTAAAAGATGCTTTGATGGCCGGGCTGTACAGAACATGGTCCAAATCTTGTTCACCCTACCTGCCTGCATCTGGGAGCGAGCAGGGGTCTACAAACAGGTTCCTGCAAGGGAAGGTGGCCAGTGTGCAGCTGGGACAGGTCAAAAACAGACCCTGACCAGCCTTTTTCTTCACTGACTCGCGCCATGGTGATGAAACTCCGCAACAAGGCCTGGCCTGCCTGGGCCCTCATGGCTATGGGCCCTGTCCTCCGCAAACGCCGCGACGCGAAGCGCCGGGAGGACTCCTCCACAGCGCCAGAGTGCGAGGAGCATGTCTATGACGCGGAGAGCGGTGCCGGAATGAGGCGTCGACTGATTCTTCACGAGGCACAGCACATGGCCCCATCCGCTGATGAGGAGACGCCTTTGACGACCCCACGCAAGGATGAGGAAGACTTGGAAGCCGATGCTGCAGGTGGCGACGCGGGTGCAGAGGGTGACGAAGAAGGAGGTAGGGGAGGGGACTGATAAAAGGATTTAGGGTTTAGGTTTAGCTTGTATGCTACATTGCTACATTCAACATTCATTATTCCTTTACCATCCCCCCTCCTCTGTCAAACAGAAATCCACATAAAGGTGGCGGTGGGGAGTTGTCCAAGAACTTCCGAGAGCTCATGCAGTACTCCGCCGAAGACAGGAAGGCCGAGAATTTCGTGCCGCTCGCGGGGAATATGTACCGCTACTTTGGATTGGGCATTGTGGAGGACTGGGCATTCGGTTCAGCGTTTCAGGGTTTAGAGCTCAGAAGGATTTAGGTCGGTAATCTTTAATCATTGGCTAGTCCTCAGCGCTTCAGAGGATTACATGACCGTCCAGTCCTTTGGCATGATGACGATCTTCTTTGTGCAGTTGCTATCCCCACCGGCCTGCCTCGTCCAGAACTTGTACAAGATGGATTGGGAACACTGGCATTTCGGCGTCAGTGATTGGATGTACATGCCTGGCAGCAACAACCACGGCATCTCCAACTTATCCAAGCATGTGGTGGCCACCCTCTTCCTGATCATGTTCTGCCTGAACGGGGCCATGGTCATCGAGCAGGATCGTGTCGTGTCGATGAAGATCAGCTCAATGTTGGACCAGATCGGCAAGGACATCTTCGGAATCCTGATTCCTATAGACCTCCCTCCAACCATAAACTGCATTGCACCCCAAGCCTTGAAACCCCCATGATCCTCTCTATAGGCCCTATAAACCTTCATGGTGCCTCAAGCCTGGGAAGGACATGCCTGACTACTTGAAGGAGGTGAAGTTCGAATGGCTCTATGCTGGTCGCATCATGAACTGCCTTGTGGTCATCGAGTGCTCCTGGGTCCCCAGTAGTACCCTCTTATCTCCCTATGTTGAGAACCATTTGTAAAATACTATTCAAAATGAATAATGTTGAAGGACTTGTAGGAATAGCAGGAAGTCTCACAATCAAGATTGCCTTTCAGGTGCCACTCGTATCAAACCCATCAACATGGGAAAAAGGATACCCGGTATGCTTTCAAAAAACCCTAAACCCTGAAACCTTAAACCCTAAGCCCTAACTCTAATTATTAAGGCCCCTGCCGAAACTTAAACCCTAAACCCTTAAAGGCTTACTGGGAAACCTTACCTCAGGCTCGGTCATTGTCTACTTTGCCTTCGTCTTGTCGGAGACACCCATGGAGACTTGGCCCTCTCTTAGGGGTTTAGGGTTTAGGGTTGAGGGGTTTAGGGGTTTAGGGGTTTAGGGTTTAGGGGTTTAGGGTTTAGGGTCTTGCTTGAGGGTATACCCTCAGGCTTAGTAGATCCTTTTTGGGATTACCTTATAGGTTTCTAAACATACACCACAAGAAGGAACTACTTAGAAGCCTATGGGTAGAGAGTTTAGGGCTGACGGTTTAAGTTTTACAGGGTTTAAGGTTGAGGGTTTAGGGGTTTTCGGTGGCCTATTTTCGGACCTGAACTTCTTGGGTTTTTTAGGTGGCTCGCAAGGCATATATATGCTGCGCTTCCCATGCTCAGTTTTGTTGGGGGAGGCGTTCAGAAGCCAGAAGCCAGGATGTGCTCTTCAACTCCATGGCCGTGACCTTCCTCTACAACCTGGATGACATCGGAGGGGAGATGGGCTTCCTGGGCGATGATGACTGGGATGGCGAGGAGTTGGGGAAGCTCTACTACAACTCCGTTTCTCAGCTCATGGATGACAAGGGCATCACCGAGGCGGGCTTCGATCCTGACACCATTGCGGAGTGCAAGTACATGCGCAACTACTACAGCCATTGGGCCTACAAGGTGGCAGAACCTTTGATGTACGCCCTGACCGTCGTACTTCCATTGATGCACCTCGAACTACACCAAAACCTACTTTTTTTGAAGCATCCGCATATGTTCTACATCAGGGGTTTACATTAAGCCGCTCTCTTCCATATTCAGGTTTATTGTTCTATAAGTGTTCTATATGTCAGTAAGCTTTGTAGTAACCCTATGTAATCTGTATCAGGGCTTACAATAAGAACCTACAAAATAGTAGGTCATCGTAGTTTCAGGTACGTCTTCATCGATGACTTGCACTGCAAGCCTGGCGACCTGAAGGTGGAAGTCTACGCGCTCAAGAAGCAGGCCGAAACATTTAACCCTGGGTAATGTAGGGTTCGGGGTTTTGGGTTTAGCCTAAACCCTAGTAAAATCGTGGCCGAAGCACTTCACCCTTATACCCCAAGCCCGAATCACTCACTCACTCACGCGCAAAGAGGTCCGAAGTCCTGAGCGATTGGAAAGCATGCAAGCCCGAAAAGCGGGTAGAAACCGGCGGGCTACGGCCTAGAGGCACGAAAGGCGCCAAAGCTGTACAAGGCGGAAAGAACCAGGAAAAACCAGAGGCACGAGGCCGAAAACAGCCAATCCGAAAACACATCTGGGCGATCAGAGCGGGACGGCTCTGTCCGGCGACCAGGGATGGTAAACAAAAGATGGCTGTAGGAAGCTACCGAGAGGGCCAGCTTCAGAAGAGGAAGGGAGCTGAGCATCACAGAGCCGAGCGTGCCAAAGCCGCTCAGGCAAGTCAGCGTGCGCAGCAACGAATATATAGCCTTCCAAGTCCACTGGGGACGAAATGAAAACGCGAGGCCGGCAGCAGCCGTCGCAGGAGCTGGAGGCCAACCGTGCTCGGAACACCAGGGATCCACAGCAGTCCCTGCCGGAGCACAAGCTGACACGCGCGCCTGAACGAAACTGTGACTGCGAGGAGATCAAGCAGAGAGGCTTGCCGTGGCCCCAGAGGGGCTGAGTCACTCGAAGTGTCCTGGCACAAACGCAGCAGTTTTTGAGCCGAGCGATTCTGCCAAGCCCATGAGTCAATAACGAACTCAGCTGAGTGCCACAGGGCCCAGTAGCGGTGCCATTCAGGAGGCAGCCCCAGGCACAAGGTCTCGGAGGCAAGGCCACTCCAAAGCGGAGAAGGACACTGCTTAACGCTTGGCATACCCACGTCCGCAAAACGGCGCCAGACGAGCGGTGCAGAGCTGGCAGGGGGAGAGAAGCTTTCAAAGTCCGGCGGAGAGCCACTTGCAGCCTCCGCAACAGACAGCACTGGGGCAGCTGGCTGAAGCAACGGCGGCCAGCTGTACTCATCCTCAGCCCCTACAGTTGTACGGAACTCCTGATGGAGCTCCTGTTCAGAGGGTGTACGACCATGCAAGGCAGCTGCTCTCTGAAGGGGGGTGGCGTTGAGAGGTCCTGGGAGACGTTGTGGAGGTAGGCCACGGTGCGGGCGAGCCCCAGTACGTTTGGTGCCCGATCCATACACATATGTTTCACCGACCACGATGCGAAGGCCACGAATACAGGCCCTGCGAGTACGTAAATGATATTTAAGCCTGTCAGTGCTGAAATGCTCAGTGAGACACCAAAGACAAACCGTCCCAGCTGTGAACTTAGTCAAGTGATTAACAACGGAGTGCTTACGGTGGCAATGTGCGGCGAGGGCGTGCTTACTAGGCAAGATAAGCGAGCACAGCGGGCATCGGTGTGCCTGCTCAGGCCCGAGGATCTGCCGGACACGCGGTCTCTGAAGGTCTTGCCAGAGGGCCCAAAATCCAGAGTAGGCGGTACCGTACCGACTAAGGTGGCGACATGCTTTCGCAAGCTGCTGGGAATTTTGACGTACTAGCTGTAGGGTCACGGGGGGTTGACCAACGGAGACCCTGAGCGCGGGCCACACACATTGGACCGCAGCAACAAGCATCTCTATCCACGGTGTGGCACGGTTCCAGCTAGCATCAAAGATCTCCCAGACTGGTGCAGGCGCTTGCTGGCAAAGCTGGACAGCGAGCCGAACTCTTGCAAGAGTAGTGGCATGTTGTGGAGCGGAAAGGCCAGAAAGGGTGATCAAGCAGGGCTTGGTGAGCATATGACCGAACTGCCATGATGAGGCGAGGCATCTCGCCGCACGCTCAAAGAAGCCGTCGAGGGGAGCCGTGGCCCGAGCTGAGAACGCAACAGACGTAGCCAGAGTGGCATACGCCGCTGGTAGAACCCGGCCGGCTATCCAGGCTTTCCGCAGCGCGAGGGGCAGGGACTTAGAGGTAAGTAGGCTACGGGCCTGTGCCCAGGACGACAGGCCACGTTGCGCGCATAGCTCTTGGTCCCGACGACCAGTGTCCCTGGGCTGCTGAATGACGCCGAGATTGCGATGCTCAGGAGTAATGCGGATGTTGCGTCCATCCGGCAGAGGTAACCAAGCCTGGCTGCCATCCCCGGCTAGCAAAGCCCCCCTGACAGCCTTGGCATCGGGACCTCGTATATCAACTAGGATCTCGGTCTTCCCAGCGCCAAGGTTGACTCGAAACCGGAGGAACTCCAACGAGCTAATAACTATGTCTACTAGCCTCGGCAACCGGGCCTGGAGCTCCCTCGGTGTGGGGAAGTCAGCTAGTACGGCAAGGTCGTCAGCCCAGCCAACAGGTATGACAGTGTCAGGCCGGCCGATATAGCAACCGGCGCCTGTGTGTGCTATGCCTTCAAGCTCACAGGTATGCCGGATATGCCGGAGAGCAACGGAGAAGAGGGCCCCGAACAAAATATCTGCGAGGCCATCTCCTGGGCGTGAGCCTCGTGTTGCTACAAAAACATTAGCAGAGCCAACCAACTGCCAATGAGAACAGGAGACGCAATCCTGGAGGAGTGCAAGTTCTTCCGGGGGGACGCCGAGTGCAGCCAGAGCCCCATTGTCGGCAAGTGTGGCGGCTAGAGATGCTAGATGTTGGAGCCGCGCTGACTGTGGCGAGGGCAAATCGGGATCCCCGTGGAACAGAAGCTGACGACTGGTTTCGTAGTAGGCTGCCTGTATGTCAATGAAGAGAGCGGCAGAGCAGAAACCATTCTGGACACTAAGGTCCCAGACATTTCTGAATGTCGCGACCGCAAAAGACACCGGGATTCTTTTGCGGCCTCCAAGTTGAAGAGCGTCGTAACCGCGGAGCACGGAAGCTCCCAGCGTGCTGCGTAGATGCGTGTGCCAGAGTTTGGCGACACCATTAAGGAGTGCAATGGATCTGTAGTTGGAGGGGAGCGCGGCGTGCCCCTTCTTGTACAGAGCACACTGTAGGGCCTTTTTAAAGTGAGTTGGCTCATGCCCACTTAGGGCAATCTTCGAGCAAAGTTGCCAGAGCCACCGGCTGGCCTGGGCTGGGCAATGTCGCCAGAGTTCATTGGGAATCTGGTCTGGGCCAGGCGCCTTGCCAGCACGCTGTTTAATGCAGCACTGCTCGAGCTCCAACAACGAGGGCAATGCCTGGGGGCAGCCAGGTGCAGGGGCATTGGTCCAGTGAGCAAGTTTGGCGTCGAGTTGAGCCGGCGTAACTTGCTCGCCTCCTTCTTGTGCCCGAAATTGCTCTTCAAGGGCTGACTCAATGTCATATCCGCCGGCCGCATATACAGCGCGCCGATCCGCCGCACGCTTTGAGGCCCACTTAAGGTGGATAATGGCCTGCATCGGTTGACCGGTGTTGTGCCACGTGTCGACAGCTTGAGCTGTCAAGGCCTGGAAATGCCGCGCCTTATCCTGACGAGCGCGGTCATGAACTCGCCGCTGCAAGTCCCGTTCATGGAGACAGAAGGCGCCAAGCACGAGCCTCTGGTGGTAGAGCGCAGAGTGAACGTCAACTGGAACGCGCCTCCACGTGTCCCACACGGCTTGCAGGAGGGTGATCCGGACACCTTTCTGAAGCGTGCGTATCTGGGCACGCCAGTCCTTGAGGTAGCAAAAAGCAGCAAGGGTCGCAGAGTGGAGGTATGGCTGTTTGGCCGTCACCGGCGGTTTGGCAGGCAGAGCCCTCAGGGCGGATTGGAAGGATTGAGAAAGCCGCTGTGTCATGGTTTCCCGATGCTGCGTGGAGGCAGTCTCCCGGGTCAACTGCTGCCAGACTCGTGCACTGACAGCCTCAAGCTCCTGGGCGGTGGCCTTACGTGGTCTTGAAACTCGGGCCCTAGGTCGCGGACAGGTCAATGTCGACTGGATGCGAAGAGCAACATGGTCGCGAACAGCATTGACAATGTCAAAGTCGAAGGCCTGTGAGGCGGAGTGATGCGCCCAGGGGCCTGGCCGGTAAAGCAAATGATCAAGTCGCTTACGCCGTCCGCTGGTGTGTTGCCAGCTCCAGCCCTGACCAACCTGAATGGATGCGAAGGTGCTGGGTGCCTCAACACCAGTGGTGAGGCAAAACGCAAGCAATGCATCATCGTTCCTCCCCGCGTCGTCCTGTGATAGCAGACTACCGATCAGGTAGCTGTCATCATCTGCAGCATGGAGGTCACCGTTAGCATCGATGCCAATGACAAGAGCTCGGGAGGTAGGGACCCGGCGGGTAAGAGAGGCTAGTTCCCCCCAGAAGGAATTCGCTTCCTTATCGGGCCTATCCGCGTGTGGGGCGTGCGCAGAAATAACGGTGACCGGGAAGCGAGATGATACACAAGTGACGCACAATATGCGGGGGTTGGAGTGCAGGATGCGCCAGTCAGAGAACTGGAGAGGCGGTTGGACAACTCCTGCCTTGACCCAGATTTCACATCCATATTGACCTTTATGGGCTCCTGAACGCCATGTTAAAAGGCCAGGTCCGGTCCAGCGCCCTGCACGGCTTCTAGCCTCCTGAATACAGACGAGGTCGGCCCGACAGGCAGCGATCTGAGAATACAAGTATTGCCGTCGCGCGGCAAGGCCAGACGGGTTAAAGATGCTCGGGGTGGCATCTTTAATAGTCTGGATGTTCGCGGTGATCGCCTGTATATTGACAGAGACCGCAGGCAGGTTCGTCCGTAGCTCAACCTCTGTTGCAGGGCCAGGCTCAGGAGACGGCTGTGGCACGGGAGGGCTATCCTCAATAATCGGGAGCACTGGAATCCCGTCTGACAAGCGGCAGAGAGGCAACAGCCACAGGGAGGGAAAAAGCTCCGACAGTTCGCGAGGGGTGAGAGCGGGCGGGAGGCCAGCCAGACGGCAAGTGTCCAACCGATGAGCGGCTCCTTCAGCCAGAGCATCAACCAATGTGTTGGCAAACAACCCTGTGTGACTGTGCACATGGCGAAAGCTAGTATTAATCCGGGACTGGACTGCCTGCCAG